ACATATTTGCGATCCACTTTGCTTCAGGATTATCCTCTTTTTTTTGTGACCTAGGCCAAAGATAATATTGGTGGAATCATTTGTAATTCAGGTCTTTTTCGTATGAATTACATAAAAAACCGACCTAACCTCTTTCTAGTTTAATTTTTTTATATAAAAAATTTAAAAACATATATGGGGAGCCTTGAAGCCATATGTCAAAGTCGTCGAAGTACATATGACAGGCTGCACCACTGAATAGTGAATATATACATTTTCGCGATCTGTTCAGGTTAGACAAGGTTAGAAATAAGATTAAAAAGAGATAGAAACAGTAACTACAAGTCAGACGTATTCACCAATATTCACTCGCGAAAAAAAGCCTATAGCAACTGTTGTACCTCAGTTTTTTTATAATGTTATGTTCTTTAAGAAGCTCACAAATTTATATCTAAAACTGTATCAAGTTCAAATTCTGGAGGCCCATGTAGTGTGGGAAAAAGAAACTGGTGAATCAATTAGTTTTCAGTCTTTTCACATGTATTTAAATGAACCTCAGTTAAGAAAGAGTTGGTTGGATGATGCTACCGAAAATATGTTCTTCATAAAAAAATTTACAGTAAGCATTTTTGTAAAAAGATTTCGAATATATGTATATGTCGTACAAAGATAACACTAGCTACAAAGGAATTAAAATCAATAGGTATAGTTTTTTTGTTATGTTCTATAATTATTAAACCAGATCTGAGCTAGGAATATTTTGACAAACAAATTCCAAATAATATTTTAAATATGGTATGGTAAATATGTAATTAAAATATTATGAATTTCAAATATTTTAAAAAAATATTTCGTACTTTAAAAAAGTATTTAAAATCTTTCAAAAGTAATTTAAATACTCTCGAATATTTAAATTACCACGTACCAAAAACAAATACTTTTGCCTGTTACGACTGGCGACTGGTAAAACACGTGCTAAAACAAAATTTTGCACCTGCACGCTTGGATTTAGCGCATTCTACAATGTGCGTCGTGTCACTGCTATTCTGTCTAGTACCTTTTAGGTCACTGTCATCACTAGTCAAGTCGGTAGTCAATCAACATTTAAAATTAATTTCTTTTATCATTAGTCGGCTATTCTAAGAAAAACTAATAAAAAATTATGAGTGAATAAAATATGCGTCTCAGTAATCCAAATGAAAATGATTGTTCCAGACTCATGTCTAGTTTTTTTTTAATTTTTTGATCTTGAAATGGGGCCTGCCTTGCATATATTTTTTTAAGTCACATCTTAAGTTTCAAAATTAATATTTCACAAAAATATTTTAAATACTGTTAATGAATATTTTCAATACAGGGCGATTCACAACTTATCCAAAAAAATTTGGGAATAGATGCAGTGTGAGAAATGGAATCAATATTGTAAAAGAAATTTTTGTAAAATCCGAGAAAAAAATTATTGAAGTTGTAGTACATTCGACCATTACATAGTTAGACAACTGTAGTCTCTAGCGTTATTCGCAATACACGTAAAGAGCCACGTGGCCTCAGCGACTCTGTCATCATTGCGATAGGGTTTACTGTGGTGGTGTTTACAATAGTTTTTTAGTAGTTAGTGTCAAAAATGGCTTGCATGTATAGCAACTTGGTGTTGATGGATATCGTTTTAATTTATGGTGAAGCAAGACATTTGTGTTTACACGTTGGTGGATAAAATTTTGAGCAGTTGTAACAACAGGTATGTCAAATTATTTGAGTTAAAACCACAAATTAATTTTATTAATTAATAATAATGATGGCTAAAGCAGTTGAATTTGCTGATATAAAATAGGTCTATAAAGTTCTATTTATTTCTTTGCAAAGTTTTTGTCCGTTTTTATCACTCTTTGCCGCCATGCCGGTCGCATTGTGCGAGGTCAGGTTTTACAGTGGACCAGTTTCCAGTGCCGTGTATTTTTAAGCACTTTTTGATTTTTTTCTTTATATAATTGTATTTGTAAGAATACCCTGTACGTTCAAAAATTTTTTTTTTTTGGAATAGGTTCTGAATCACCCTGTATATTGAATATTCAACATACTTAAAATACCATTTTAAATACTAATTAATTTATATTTAAAATTCTTTGTCAAAGAAGTATTTCGTTCTTAAGTATTTTAAAATACTTTAACAATAGTATTTTAAATACATTTGAAAGTTTTTGCCCAGCTCTGAACCAGATAAACACTAGAAGGATGGAATTTTTTGAGTCGAAAACCTCAATGAGACACTCCATACACGACTAACAAAAATTTATGAATGAGTACTGTTAAATTGTGTAAGAGTTGTAGATTGAAAACGAAAACGTTGTATTGACAAAATGAAAAACAGTAACTGTATCGTATAGTATGTATGTACTATGTAGTTATTTGTTTGTTACGAGGGGTTTAATTCATTCAAATTTAATGTGACATCTGGTGTCCCTCAGGGATCTAATTTAGGACCCTTGTTATTTCTTCTATTTATTAACGATTTACCCAACAATATCTCTTGTTGTAAACTTCTTTTTGTGGATGATTTAAAAATATATACAAAAATTAAAACTCCTGAGGGTTGTACACATTTGCAGATTCAAGTCAACCATATTAATGACTGGTGTAGTTCCAATTGCTTAAAACTGAATATTAACAAGTGTCACGTGGTTTCATTTTGTAGGAAAAAAGAAATATATGAATATGAGTATAAACTTAATGATGTTACAATTACAAGATGTAATGAAGTGAAGGACTTAGGTATCTTCTTCAATTCAAATTTTTCATTTGTTACCCAAATCAATCGACTAGTAACTATAATGCTTTATAATGCTAATAAAAACTTAGGCTTTATGTTAAGAAATTGTAAAGATTTTAGAAATATTAATACTTTAAAAATGTTGTATTACGCAGTAGTTAGGAGCAAACTTGAGTATGCTTCGATAATCTGGTTCCCCATTTATCAGTATCAAATTCATAATATTGAATCTGTTCAGACGCTTTTTAAAATTTCTGTCATTTAGAGAAGATGGCATTTATCCTGTCCGAGGTATTGATAATCAAATACTACTAAACAGATTCAATGTAATTTCTCTCGTGTGTCGTCGAGTATAAAGTTATTGCATTTTTATACAATTTGATAAATTATAACATTGATTGTGAAACTCTTCTAAGCAAAGTAAATTTTTTAGTTCCGCATGTCGAATCTAGACATAATTACACTTTTTATTGTGAAATGCCTAGGACCAACATTTTACTAAGAGCACCTATATATAATGCTTGCACCTGTTTTAATAATTTACATCATCAGTGATATAAATTTCTCATCACTAAACATAATTAAGAACATTATCTATAGAGATGCATGACTGTATTTATATATAAACCCGGCAAATTGATATTGATTAAAACTGTACTATTATCGACTTAATGCGAATTTCTTTATGTTCAAATTGTCTTCATATATACTGTAACACGTGTGTCTTTAAAAGTATCTGATTTATTTTTTTTTTATTATTCAATTGTAAATATTGTTGATTATGTGTTTCCTGTAATTGGGTTTTCTTACCTGTTGGAAATAAACAGCCTTTATTATTATTATTATTTGTGATAAACGTATCTGTATTTAAGTATGTATTGTGTAATATCGATTTGGTGTATCTTTTCTCTTTCTTGCTTTATCTTTGAAACAAATCGAATCTTACAAATATTTAGGAGAAAAGCCTTTTTTCAATTCTTGTAATTTTTTTTTGTATTCCGGCCCTATGAATAATTTGCTTTGGAAAAAAATCATTTTGAAGTTTTAATTAGCACCATTTAGGGCCCCATCAACTGATTTTTACAGAATCAAAAAATTTCTTTCCATTATCAAATTATTGGACCACACAGTTTTATATGCCTCACCCTGTACATTTTAAACGTTTTTTGCACAGGATTGGATAATAAGAATGACAAAATGTGTAGACTTTACGAAGTCAGTTGGACATGTATAAAAACGCCTAGCAATAAAATTTTATGAGTTTCATATGCGTCCCTAAAAAAGGTAAAAAATTATAATAATTTGTATATAATGTGCAGAAAATTTCTATTATATGTTCATTTGGCCAACAACATATTTTAATTATTTATGTCCTCAAACAATTTTATTTTATTGATGGTAAATTTCATTTTGTTCCGTTTCAAAAGGTCTCCGAAATGCCATGTTGTAATAATATTATTTCTCCCTTTCGCAATTGTAATACCAATGATTAATAAAAGGTGCCTATAATAAATTAAAATTACCTGAATCACACCAAATTCCACATTGCTGCACTGCACTGCTGAGCAATTTGTCAACCGCTTGTCAACGGCTGAGATTTATTGCCCAGTGGCCCAATGCAGATGTGTTTGTATTTCGTTTGCTCGAATTCTTTAACTGGGCGTATACATTTCTGCCACCTCCACGTTTAGTTCGACCAGACCTGTATATGGGTATGGCTAAATAAATACAAGTTTTTCAAATATTTCAAAGCCGAGTTGCTGCGTCAGCGACCGAACCTGGTACATACTGTCATCCTCTTGGTTCTCCAATTGATATCGGAAAGACTTTACTACAGATCTTGAGAAAACTTATGAAACATGTGACACAAACAGAGACTTAAAAATATTTTGTCACATTTTTTAGTTATTTTCATTTGGGATTACAGTGGATTAAATATCAAATATAAAAATATGTTCATAGTCTACCGATTTAATGAAAAAAAAAAAAGAATACATTTAAGATAAAATTTGCTTCACAGAATTTTAAGACGATATCGCAAAGTTTCTAAATAATATTACCTTACCTGAAGCCTCAAGAGATACATATATAAAGTTAAACAATGTTGCACTATTACGTCTATGAAGAAATACCTTAAATTATTTAAATATATGCATTAATATTTATTATATACACAAAATATAGATGCTAATAAGCTTCTCCTTCCTCAAACTCTTCATCATACTGACGACTTCCGTTTGTGTTTTCAGGATCAAATTTCTGTTCGTCCTCATCTTCATATTTAACTTTACTGGAATCATAGTTTGCAGGTGGATATTGAGGATACTCTGGATAATCTACAAAACAAATTTTTTTAGATATTTACAAAACATTTTTATTTTAAAGAATGTTTGAGGTGTATACTACCAAATAGTCAAAACTTTAAGACTAATGGCCCTGTTACCTCTTTATTATCTATTTTTTTTCTTATTTGGCAAAACCGTTAAGCTGAACTATCAATAGATGAATTTGTAACAGTTCAGAGTTTAAAACAAACAAGGCTGCCAATCATTAACGCTTGAATTGTAACATTTGTAAAGTAAACTTACCATCGATAGGTTCTTCTTTAATTCTAATTTCACCTCCATCATCAGTTTTAATGTATTCAATTCGTTCACCTCTTTCCCTTTCTCTTCTCTCTCTTCTTTCTCGTTTCCGTGCCTCTCGGTCCCTGTCTCTAGATTTAGATCGTCTTCGCTTCCTTTCTTTGTCCTTATCCCTAGAAAAGATTTTATTTTATTGTATAATTTACTTCGTTTTCTGAATAGCGTCTGAATTTAAAATGAAAATAGGTACTCAACATGGAAATTTTAAGGAATTTAGAAGAAACAAACGGGCTGTTTAATAAGTTTTCAGTTTTTTTTTGAAAATTAATGCTTTAAAAAAAATTGTAAAAAGCATGTCACTGAAAGTATTGTCCATCGTTAGCCACTACTTTTTTACCCAATTTATAGCTTATACAGGGGATGTCCCGAAATTCATGCAACAAAATTTGGTCACCGATTCTTAAGACAAATTTAAGGGACCAGTATTTTTTAGAATATTTTTTTTATATCTCAGAACCCTGTTGTATGAGAATCACTAAATTTGGTACACAGGGGTTTTATGACATGTGGAATCTGATGGTGCTACGTTTTTTGGCGGGAAATCCCTTTAAGACAATTTTTCGTGGGTCCCCCTTGTCTTTGGAACCAAAAAAATTTGGTCGCATATTTAAATTTATTAAAAATTATCAGTCCACTAGAAACCCATTAAATGTAATGTTTTCAAGAAAAATGTCAAAATGTGATCGAATGCATATCGTGATTTGCCATTTTCCTCAAAAACATTGCATTTTACGAAACAAACATCAAGAGACAAAAAAGTTTATAAATTTGATGGCTTTCTAGCTAACTAATAATTTTTAAAAAAATCAAATTTGCGACCAAATTTTTCTGGTTCTAAAGACAAGGGGCCCACGAAAAAGTGTTTTAAGGGGATTTCTCGCCAAAAAGCGTAGCATTGTGAGATTCCACATGTCATAAAACCCCTGTGTACCAAATTTAGTGGTTCTCGTACAACATGGTTTTGAGATATAAAAAAGACTATTCTTAGAGGCAGATTTCAGGGGGCTGTAACTCCGAAAGAAGGGGCTAGTTGGCAAAAAGAAAAAATATGGGTCCTCTAAATTTGTCTTAAGAATCTATGACCAAATTTTGTTGCATGAATTTCGGGACACCCTGTATAGTATTTGATGTAACATAATTATTTTCTTCTATTATTTAAGGAGGTTCGATACATCTCTTGTGGGGCAGGCGGTGCGGGAGGGAAGCCTATGCTTATACACGGTAGTAGTTTCGTTATAGTACCAACCTTACATAAACTAATTTGAGTGAACTAAATATAATATATATGAATGAAAATTATACAACACATATTAGCTTGCATATATTTTTCGTGTTTAATGCACGGAATTAACTTTTTATTTGAATAAAAATGTCTATTTATTCATTGAGCTTGTAAAATTATGGATGAAATCTGACAACACTGCCATGGCCTGATGGTAAAAGTTGGGTCAACTGTCATTACTGTCAACTTTGCGCGTATTCCGTAAACATGAATGAACAACCAAGGTACAAAGGAAAAGTAATGACTGAAAAGTAATATAAAATGAGTGTAAAACAGAATGTGGATTGATGAGAAAAAGTAGTAGAAAAGTAGAGTAAAATGTGCAAAACGAGAATCCATATGATAACTATCAAGAAGTTCAGTGTATGATAATTGAAGATTATGACAGAACATCTATACCAGTGGTCGGCAAGTAATTTTAGGCGGGGTCCGGATACTTTTGAAAATTTTTAATGAGGTCCAGAAAAAAATTCATATTTCTTATTTTTTTATTTTAATTTGGACTCAAATTTAATCTGCTTATTAACCATTAAGAACTCACACAATTGTAAAATACTAGAAAAAATGATAAGGTTGGCACTTAAACGTAAAAAACATTTTTCAAATAATTTATTTGAGTAATTTATACTTTCAAAAAATTTTTGGCGGTCCAGTATTTTAGCTTCCGCGGTCCGGATCTGGACCGCGATCTGCCAGTTGCCGACCCTTGATGTATACTGTTCATTTTGTAAAGAGATCCTTTCAATATTTGTTTCAAATTGCTAATATATTGCATTAGATCACGAAAAATTTATTTAATATTAATTATTGCTACATATGTTTTCGACTGGAATAATTTTATAGTCTATAATCAAGCTATTCAAATATAGCGCGTCAGTCGAAGCGTTAAATACAGCATACAGTGTTGCTATTTTCATTAGATCACGTTTGTTCAAATTTGTCAAAACGTTATATATTCATTGCATTATCTCAATAATTACATTGTAAGTGCATATTTTTAATTATTTTAAAATGTTTAGTAATATCTAATTTTTTAGTTACAATTTTATTTTCCCGATCCTAACCATTTTTAAGAGCAATATTCACGTTTGATTGAAGTTTTTTCCCCCAACTCCCATAAGAGTCTGTGTATAAAAGCATAATTTTTAATATCATTTTTCAAAAAAACCACATTGGCAATCGATCTGATATTTTTACACGAGGCAATTTGCATATTTATTAACAGATTTCAATTGCTTTGAAAACTTTCTTACCATTTTTTTTCGGTATCGAGCCTCCTAAAAAATCATTTACTGTCACTGTTCTACTTTATGTATCATTGGTATTTTTTTTGTATTTTATCCTTAATTGTTATATTGAGAAGGCTGTATCTTGGTAGGCTTTAATTTTGCTATAGGCAAGTTAGTCTAAATTGTGCTATTTCGACCACTATTGCAATCTATGGTAGTTCGATGGTTATTTAATGTACCAATTCTTTGTAATAAAAGCTATCTCGTAAAAAAAAAGAAACAACAATAATTATAGATTATTTTAAATCGTTACCTATTGCCATAACTGAATTCACATACCTTTCTCTCTCCTTTTCTCTAGGACGACCCTCAAAGCCATCTTCAAATTCTTCCCTAACCCTTTCCTTTTCTTTACTTCTTCTTCTCTTTTCTCTCCTCGGTGACCGGGACCTACTTCTTCTCCTTCTCTCTCTCGATCTGGATCTGCGCCTTTCAAAACCATCTCGTTCCCTTATTCTTTCTCTATCCCTGTCACGTTCTCTACCGCCACCCCTTTCTTCTCTTTCTCTCTCTAATCTATACCTTTCTCTTTCCCGCTCGTTATCTTCTCGACCTGAATGTTTAATATTTACCTCTGGTCCTCCTCTTCTAGTACCACCTAAGCCTCCACCTGATGGAAAAATTTAACGTTATGTTCAGTAAAAAGGGCACTTTTTTAATTCATTGCCCGATAGTTGCGAACAGAAACAAATAATTTTAATATAAACACCTCACAATAGCAGTGCATTTGCAGGACCTTTAGCAAATCAATTGAAAAAATATATGAAAATACATATGCAGTAAAGATTATTGAATTTTAAAAATGAAATATACATGGTGTCATGAATTACACAGGCCAAGCTTTATCCGGTGATAGAAATCTTCAAAATAAGAAAAATAAAATAATAATAATAATAAATAGTTATTCGTGTTTTTGTTGAATGCAATAGTTTTTTGAAAATTAACAAGAGTAAAAAAAGTTTTACAATTAAATTCTCCACAAATTAAAGTAATAATTAAGTTCGTCAACAGTTTCAAAATTCCGTCACATTTTAATGGTGCATTGTCCCTTATCAACCCTTTAAAATGCTTCAAGTGATTTACTCCCGTTTTGTCACAATTCGCAGAGAATTAAAAAAAATACATAAAATATGTTTTTGGTCGCAAATTACTTGTCGAAAAAAACTGAAATGAACATGGCCTTCAGTATTTTGAAAATTTTAAAAATCACCCCTACTTAGGGGTTGAATTTTAATATTACCAATTGATAAATTGAAAAATTATTAGCATGTGAATTATCTTAATACATTTTTTTCGAATTTTTACAATTATTTCTGATATTTTCTATTTTTGGGGATGATTCCACCCCCTGAGCGCGCTTAAGGGTGGATTTTCTAATTCAACATGCTTATTTCAGTCATGAGACTAAATCTTTGCATCAAGAATAATTCGATAGAAAAATTCAAATTCTAATAATTTTTATATTTATCAGTAATATTCAATTCTTCATTTTGGGCGTCTCTTCAACCCCTAAATAGGGGTGATTTTTGAAAATTTTCAAATAACTAAAAGCAATGCTCATCTTAATTTTTTACGACGAGTAATTTGAGACTAAAAACATATTTTTATCTATTTTCTTTAGTTATCTGCGAATTGTGAAAAAACAGGCAATTTTTGCGGTCACTCTTTGGTTTTTGGTTCGAACATAACCGGAATATTGATTTTTTCGAAAGTTGCGTTATATCACCATATTTTGGGTTCCCCTACATGCTCCTGCTCTGTGTCGGTTCTTATGCGAAACACCCTGTATAATTGTACTTGATATTACTTACCCAGTCGTCTAGGTAACCATCCTTTTACAGTCCTAGCCCTTTCTACATCTACTAATACCCGTCTTCCGTCAATTTTCTTCCCATCTGCATGTTTGTATGCAGCTGTAATATTAACATAGCTATGGTAAAATTAGTTTTCAATACTAATAAGAACTTTTCATGTTGTTTACATTTACACAGGTGTCTGAGGAGGTTGTAGAGATAAATTTAAATTGAAAAATATGAAAGAAATCGTTAGAACATTGAATCTGAAAGTAAAATGAAAAAGAACATCGTGAATTCTTCCTCTTCTACTTCTTTATGAATATTATTTTGAATCAAAATTGTGCACATTTACAAAAGTTAATTAATATTTTAAAAGTTATTGTGTTTAATATTCTCAATAAGACTAATATATTAACAAAAAAATGGGATTAATAATTTTTGCAATTGTAATTTTGAGTGTCTACCACTTTAATTCTAAATGAGGTTTTTATATTATCCAAAAACACACTGTATGTTAAAAATTTATAATTTATACATTTCAAACAACATGGAAAGTTATTGATATTAAAGTCGCGAATTTCTAAAAACAGAAAGTAAACAACTCACTGTACTTTCTTGATCATGAAAATAATAAAAAAATATATAAGCACCATAAATGCTTTGTAAGTTTGGTAACTGTGAAAGTACAGTTTAATTGCACAAATTTTATGAATTGCTGACATTTCGCGGCTTGAGATAATAGGTATAAATAAAATATACCTACCCTGTTACTTACGTAATAAAACATCATAATGAAAAAGTTGTTACTGAATATTTAAAGCATCCCGAACTGCTGAGAGGGCATCCATATTTGTATCTTTTACCTGGTGCGCAATTACTTACTGAGCGCATACCCAATTAAATTAAATTAAAAATCTGTTTGATTAAAAATTTTGAAAACACATTCCAAAATTAGTACCGGATTCTAATAGACTGTAATAAATCTAGTATTTTATTATTAACTACTAATATTTTAAACCCCGTCAAATAATAAGATTTTATTTGTATGCAGGGTTCTTACCACACATACAAACCTATATAGCCAGCAAAAAGTGGAAGTTTGGGGCAAATCGGCACTACTTAGTTGCCTGCAGCTCGACTGTGTAAAAAATAGAAAAAAATTAATTTCAGTGCAATAATTTGATATAGGTACATTTTATCGGTAGGGTTGCTGGCTACATAAACTAGCAAGAATTTCAAGATACCACTTTAAATAATATACTACCATTTAAAAAATATTTTACAAATACAATGTGTTTCAAATAATTTGCGCAATCTTCATAAAAAGAAAGATGAAAGTGATATGTCCATTGGATTAAAACGGAAAGCCTCAAGAAATAAATAAACTTGTTCTATTGAAAATTGTCTTTAACTGTAATAATTTTTTATGGATGTTCTCCACTAATACGAGCAAAGAAATTTATGTGAAAATTCAGAATTACCCGACTAAATTTGATTATTATAAAGTGAAAAAACATTAAAACAATAAATGGTGTAATGAAATCTTTATTTTTATTGAAGAGGACTCATAATTTTACCACTTAGTAAACTGACACAAATATAAAGAAAAAAATCCACATACATTATGTTAAAAAAGTATACGGAATTTTGTCATTTAAAAATGAAAAATACAGCGTAAAATAGATTTAAATTTCTTTTTTTGATGGAAAGTTGGTAGCACTCTATTCTGACGCGAAGTTTGAACACGCTCTGTCAAGCAGTTTCTTTACAACAGTTTATTTTGGTTAGTTCACATAAAGTGTGTTCCGCAATTTTTTCTATGGAAAATGTTTTTGAACAAAGAATTTGCCCAAAATTTTATACTACCAACGTAATTTCTTGGGCTGAATCATTGAAAATGTATGATAATTCAATTTTATCGAAAACTCAAGCATGTGATTGGTAGAAAGCATTTAATGCGACAAGGTCAGGAAGTGGTTGATGATTTGCCACATTCTGGTTATCCTTCAACGTCTTCTTTCTTCTGAAGAAAACATCGATAAAATGAAGGAAATGGTGCTTGCAAACCGTCATTATAGTTTGAAAGGCATCTCACGAATCACTTTGTACCATTTTAGTTGATGTTTTGGTTATGAAACGTGTCACAGCACAGCTGGTTCCAAAAGAGCTGAATTTTCTTCAAAAAGAGCATTGCATGTCAGACATGTTGCTGAAGACATGCTGAACAAGATAATTCATCATAACGGATGACGTTTCGGAATGGCGCATTTTTAATGAGCCAGAACCAAAAACACCAAAAATCGCTGAAGGAGTTGAGGTCCATACTGAGATATACGTTTAAAAAATGCTTTGACGACCGAGTTGTTTGTTGGAAAAAGTATATTGCTTCTAATGGGGCCTACTTTTAAGGAAATAAAATAAATTTTGATGATTAATTGGATATATTATTGACAAATTCTGGATACTTTTTTGACAGAATATATAATACAAAGCCTAACAGATGCAGTTCCAACATAAGGGACAATTTAATGCCAAGTAACATTTTAAAAATGTCGTAATATAATACATACTCAAGAAAAAGTGACACTGGTAATTGTTTATTACACAAGTAATTATATATGTATGTTTATTTCATACTATCGTCAAATATGTATGTAATAGTTGTATTGTCATTACTCCTAAAATGTAAAAAGAGAGTATGTCAAATTTTCAGAGAAACAAAATACACTCGTCAGTATAATTATTGCATTAGCTACGATTTTTACCTAATTATACTTTGATATACCATTTTCAGCAAAATCAGCAAAAAAATTGGCCATTGCTTTGAGGTAAGTTTATGTCCAGTTTTTATCAGCATGCTTAGTTCTTCTGTAATTATCTCTGTTATAAAGTGGACAACTTTCTTAAACAAAACATTTAGTATATAATCACCATATATAAATGCGGTAGGTTTCAATAATGTATCATATGAAAACTATTTTATCAAAAGTAGCATTTCTAGACACATTTAAACTTGTTATAGGAAATTTTAGTACAATAGAAAAGTTTTCAAATCTCTCAATTTTTCAATGTTCTTGAGAACATTTAAAACAGTTCTAGAGTACCAGGATGAGGGATTTCATTTATTTCACATACGCAATGTTCACACATATACATTACGAGTACGACTAACATACTAATACTAATTGGCATTTATGCATTAAATTTGTTCTAAACTGGACTCCATAATCTTTTTTATACCCAAAGAACCTCTTATAAAGGTTTCAAAACCACAAATTGTTTTCTTTTTCAAAAACCCAGTGCTGGCTTTCACAAAATTTCTATTTGTAAACATCAAATTCCCTGACTCACGAATACTTTTTAAATTCCCTGACTATTCCCCGATTTGTATTAAGAATAATGAATTCCCTGACTTTGCTCAGTATTCCCGGATTTCCAGGCCGCTACGAACCCTGAAAATAGTCATAATATTTATGCCCATGCTATTTTTTATATAAGACGCAGTCCCAGGAAGACTTCCCAATTATTAAATGTTCTTGTGTACCAAGTTCTCGATTTCGCCCATCACTAATTTCAAGGTGTAACAAAACTGGTATGTTTATGACAAAAGATGACATAGATGACTCGCTACTATAAATCAATATCTCCATGTAATATGCTTTGTATTTTTTAATAAACATATTTTTGTAAAGGTTTCTTTGCTGTAGATGAAGATTTCTGTTAGTTAGTTATATAAGTTGTTCCCTTTGTTTTTTTTCCTATTTATTAGTCATTATTACTTTACCTATTGTTCTATATGTAATTGTCCTATTATTGGTCTTGACTGTTGGGCAATAAAGCATTATTATTATTATTATTATTATTATTATTATTATTATTATTATTTGCTTTTCCTAAGTTACATGTTCTTCTAGAATAACCTCTTCGCCAAAAATTGATAAGATTTGACAAAGAAATGCAAAGATGGCCACTGTTTTGATAAAAAATGGATAAATGTTTCTTGGATTATTTGAACCATTATTTTGCTGTTTGAAAACAGTTCCCAATCTATTGATGATATGAACATGTTTATTTCTGTGGTAAACTAAATTTTTTAATACCAAATATAGGTGCAGGCTGGCGAGATGCCACAATATCTTAGTGTGTAATGTCCCGTCTGCAAACACGGATAACCTAGGTTCAAATCATGGTTAGAGCAGATTTCTATTCTTTTACTTTATTTACCGACGTATTTTTCTGAAAGCATTCTGCTTCTGTTTTAGTTATATCATTATCTCATTTTATTATTACACACATAATGTCATACACATAAAATTTAAAAAAAAATTGTTTTTGAATTAAAAGATTACAGCTAATGCGCTAATTATGCTGCTGCTAAGTATAAAGTAGAATTAATGCTAATGAAGAAAGTAATACTTTTTTAGATTCACGTATTCCCATATTTAATGTAGAATATGTTGATTATTAATGATAATGCATTTCCAGTAAACACATTTTCTGGTTCAAATCGTATAAAAATAAAAACAAAGAAATTAGAAATACAAATATTCCATGCCCCTAAAAACACACTGTACTGTTAACTGTATTATTCTTTAAGACCTTTATAATTAATAATTCAATTATGGATATTTTTACTTGAAATAAAAAAAAATTCTTTAAAGTGGTATAACTGAAGTGCTACATATTTTTTTACTTACAATGCATGTCACGTTCGTGTTCATATTCTATAAAAGCATACCCCCTTGGTTTTCCATTCACACTGTTATGGATCAGGACAATCTAAAATAAGAAGAGCTTGTTTCAATATACAGAATGAGTCAAGTTTTTGCAGTCAAACATCTATTGATAGAAGACCACATTCAAAAAACAAAGTTTACATTAACATAGACTATACAGGGTGTAACTTTAAGTAGGGGCCAGTTTTTTAGGGGTAATGGTATGTGTTTCCCTGAACACGAATGTGAAATTATTATTTTTTTAATCAAATAGATCCCCATCTCAAAGTTACGCCCTGTATGTGCTCCGTTTTCAATTAAAAAAAAAATCGCGTTCCTTCAAATATATCTTAAAGTATTTAAGGTAAATTAATGAAATTTGGACTAATGAATTATGGCCAACAACTGAGTTGGTAAAAAAATGTCAACCATTGGCAGAGATACTGAGAAACTGCCACTAAGAACTTAGAACCAGAAATTTCAACACTACTGAGTATTTTAGAAATTGGATAAATTCATTTAATTCCAACTGGTATTTCTAAAAAAAAAAGATGTCTCATTTTATTAAAAAGACAAACCTTTTTTGATTAGAATTTTATTTTAATTTAAAATAAGCTTCGAAAAGTAATTAAAAAACAATTTGTTTCACAAATAAAATACAGGAATTTTTTTGTTAAAAATCGGTAACAATCAGAAGCAAAAAAAAAATCATCCTTCAGAAAACTAAACGTTCTTGCATTAATGATTGTTTTGGACCTATGATAATTACACATTTCCAGAATGCTCAGAGGCATCGAAATTCTAAGGTTTCCCAGCATCTGACATGGGTCGACAGATTATTGGCAATTTTTTTTTTTAATTTCAACACTATATCTCAAATATAAAGGGGTTCATGTTTATATGATTTTTTTTCTTAGGATGGTTTTCAATCGACCATTAAATTTTAACCACAAAAACTTGACGCACTGTATATTTTGATAAATTGCAGAATGTTATTTCATTTACTTCATAATTACATACTTCAAAGTGATTTATATCAATTAACACTGTGTGTACTATATTCACTGTATGAATATTTTTATAGTATTAAAGCAATATTAGGACCATTATTAATAAAGTAGTATATCATCATCTATCTACATGTGCTTACGATTTAAAAAGTATATTTTGAAAGGAATTAATAATAGTAATATTATTATTGAAGTTAATAAAATAAATATAATACTGAAAATTTTAAGAAATGAAAATGGCAAATATGACTAGAAAAAAAACTGATACAAAACTAGGTAGAATGCCTTCAAGAAAATAAAACATATTTAACAAAATTGTACAGCTAATAAAATTCAACAAAAACTTATATAAGGAGTAGACTGAGACATGAAGAGGGAAAAATAGTTTTACAACAAAATTACATCTAACAACACAACTGATATCACACCACCAAATAAATAACAAATAACCAAATATTAGAATAATGTATCGGATAATCGCATTAATCATAACAAAATGCTAAATGGATCAAAGATGAAACAGAGATAGAACAACATAAACCATCACAAGTCATCATTACTGATGAAGAACTAACAACAATTTATATCGATAAACAATTTATATCAGAGCACAGGTAACTAGTTACACCAATAAATAAAATAATTCCAAAGTTACAGCTCACATCCCAGTTTTTACAGTAGGTAGAACACATAAAAATAAGAATAAAGAAATCTAAAATCCTGCAGGAAATCAGGAACAGATTAGAAAAAAATGAACATTTGTACAAGTTTCTCCAAAAAACGTCAATTATACCCCAACACTAATCTTTCATTGTTGCAATACAAGATCGGATAATAGCCACAAATGTTTGGAAAAAACATGTTCTAAATGATAATACAATCACAAGTGACAAAATTATCACTTGTTTGTTTGTGTCATAAGGGTGCAAACTATTATCAAATGTTGAGTATATAAATTGGTAAAATAGAGTAGCTTAAATGGACCTAGCAATAGCATTAAAATACTAATTACATAAGGACACACACATACACACAATATTAGGGAATAAACATAAATTATACAGGGTGATTCACAACTTATCCAAAAAAAAATTGGGAATAGATGCGCCATAAGAAATGGAGTCAATATTGTAAAAAAAATTTTTGTAAAATCCATATAGTTTCCGAGAAAAAAATTATTAAAGTTGTAGTGCTTTCAACCATTACATAGCTGGACAACTGTAGTCTCTAGCGTCACTCATAATACGCATGGAGAGCCACGTGGTCTCAGCGACTCAGAACACTGAAATCAGATGTTTACAATAGTTTTTTAGTAGTTAGTGTCAAAAATGGGATGCGTGTGTAACAACTTGGAGTTGATGCATATCGTTTTAGTTTATGGTGAAGCAAGAAAACATTTTTAAAATGGTGCAGCATTTGTGTTAGTTCGTAGAAACTTGTAAGACATGACCAAATGTGTTTGCAAGTCGGTGGACAAAATTTTGAACAGCTGTTGTAACATCAAGTATGTCAAATTATTTTATTATTTAAAACCACAAATGAATTTGAACAAAATCAGTTGAGTTTGCCGATATAAAATAGGTGCTGTAAAATTCTATTTATTCTTTTCCTTGCGCAATTCTTTCAAGTTTTTGCCCGTTTCATCACTGTCGACGTGACGGTCGTATTGCGCCAGGTCAGGTTTTACAGTGGACCAGTTTCCAGTGCCGTGCAGAAGTGTATTTTTAAATTGCCCTTTTTGATTTTTTCTTTACAAAATTGTATTTGTAAGAGCCCCCTGTACATCCAGAATTTTTTTTTTAATAAGTTCTGAATCACCCTGTATGTACAATACACAGACAAAACAATTACGCACATCAGACCCGATACGTTTCAATATAAAAGAGAAAAAATTACTTAACAGATATTGCATTACCTTCAGAACAAAATGTAATAAAAAATATTCAGAGAAAATAGATAAATAAAAGGAACCAAGAATGAATTTGAAAACAAAAACAAGTGCACATCAGTCTATTTATTATTACAACCATAGACTTATTCTAAATTAAAGATAAACTTCTGACGAACTTGGCATTAACCCATTTGTCAAAAAGATGCACCAGAAAAATACGTGAAAAAACGGTAATAAAATATGCTAGGTAAAATATAAAAATGTATCAATTATACATCAAAATATTAATAATATTAATAAAAAATAAGATTAAATAAATAGTGAAAAGATTTTATTAAAGCATAGGATTTTATCTACTTTGAAGTTTTTTTTAAGGTAATATTACATCTCTTCAGACAAAGAACATATATTTTTTAAGTATAATTAAATTTGGAGCGGCCTTTTCACACAATTCTCGTTTATTACAGGAAAGGAGAAGTAAGTTTTAAAATAGATCTCTTTATATACAATTATTTGAACAAATGTACATAGTGTGAAATAGTAAACATATAATATTAAATATGTCTACATTGGAAGTCTATATAAATAATTTAGCATCTGTTTTACCACATACAAAACGGTTGTTCTCATGTGGGGTTTTAGGATGCATAATAAAAATCGAATGGGTTTGGAAAGTACTTACCTTTTTTATAGGTCCATATACTTCAAATTCTCTTCGAAGTTTTGACTCTGATGTATCATAATTCTAAAAACAAAAGGAAAACTCGTAAAGTGATCCACTGACACTGACAATAAACAATCTAAAAGCTACATTTGAATTTCATATAGACTTTTACATTCCTGTTAAAGGTATAAATGGACCACAATCCATATATTATTTTCTGTTTAACTCTTATCTACTGTATTTACACTTTGACATTAATTATCTAGTGAAATATACAGGTTAATAAAAAAAAAAGACCCATTAACCACAGATTCTAGAGGTGCGTTTTGTTGGATTGATTTCGGAATTGAACTATGCAGAATGAGCGTTTTATTGCAAGGATATTCTGAATCCAGTTGCAACTTTTGCTTCTGTGGTTTGAGACGGAATTATTAGAATTAAGTGGTGGGAAGTTCAAATTTGTGAGGACTGAGGTTACTTAGGTTCTTAGTACTTCTTAGGTAGCTGGTGTAGCATTGGCCTGTTGAGTCGGCATCTGTTTAATGTCAGATTTGATTTGAATCGTTTTATTGATAAATGTCATTCTAAAGAATCCAATAAATCTGGGATTGATCCAACAAAACGCACCTTTTGACTGATATACATATTATATTGGTCTACATTACATTTCACATTACATGGTAATTTGCATTAAGTTGAATTAAATAACAGTAAACCATAATTTCCCTGCATTATGGATGTATTATGTAGTATTGTCACAATTATAAAATCTATCTTAGAGAATGAAGCAGATTATTTTCATAATATTTTGTAATTATAAAAATAAAATAATTTCATCATTTAAATTTATTCTGGTTATTGTCTGTACAATAAAATGTAATGCATTTTTGTACTATTAGCAAAATTAATATTTAAATTGGGGCTTCTTTCACGGCTCTGATGACTAAGGAAAAACCAACTTGCACCACTTTCCTTCCTGTCTTGATAATTAATACAAAAATAAGAGGCTATACAAAAAAGAGGGATCAAGGGATTGGTGCAAGTAAAGAAGTCGTCTTGCGTGAAAATTGGGTACTCAGAGTCATTAGTGGACTATGGGTGTGACTCCCCTAGAAAAGCCTTTCAGTTTATAATATTCTTATACAGGGTGTATCAGAAAGACCTCCTGTAAATACAGGGGATGATAATATGTCAAAAAATAAGAATTTTTTGTCTTATGAACTATATGTCTATCTCTTCTTGTTTTCGAGATAAAGAGTGACAAAACAAAATTTTTTAAAATAGAATTTTTACCAAAATTTCCAAACAGTACGAAATATTTTTATGAACTTTGATATTCAAGTGTTTTTAAGGACGACACATACACTAGTCCAATTATTTTATGGATATTTCATAAAGGGCGCTAGTTATGCTACATTCCTATTACATTTTAAGTTCAAATTTGTTTAAGGTTTTTTACCATTCGGGCTCCATTTTCTAATGTATAATTTTATTTTCTAAAAATAATGTACTCTTGTTGGAACTTCCTAATGTGGACGGTTTCCGATAAAAAGGTTTTAATTGATCTTCTTACAATATTATGGTGTATAAATTAAGTGACTTTTCTCGAAGTAGGCTCATGTGAAAACTTATTGATGGATATCTCATAAACAACACATACATCCTTAGTAATATTTTAAATTCTAATTAACTTTATATCAAAATTTTAGTGACTAATTAGTCATTACTAACTACAGTCACTAAAAATCACTAAAATTTTGATATAAAGTTAATTAGAGTTTAAAATATTACAAAGGATGTATGTGTTGTTGATGAGACATCCATCAATAAGTTTTGACATAAGCCTACTTTGAAAAAAGTGATGTATTTTGTTCACCATAATATTGTGTTCAATTAAAAACCTTTTTTCTCGAAAACCGTCCACATTAGAAAGTTCTAACAGTCCATTATTTTTAGAAAATAGAATTATACATTGGAAATTGGAGCCTAAATGGTAAAAAACCTAGGCCTTAAAAAAATTAGAACCTAAAATGTAATAGGAATATAGCGTAACTAGCGTCCTCTATAAAATATCGGAAAAATAACTAGACCAGCGTATTTGGCATCCTTAAAATACCCAGAAATTCCAAATTTCATGGAAATATTTTGCATCATTTAGAAATTTTCGTAAAAATTTAACAAACTTTATTTTGTCGCTCTGTATCTCGAAAAGAAGAGGACTTTCTGAAATACCCTGTAGATATTTTTGTATGTGTAACCCTCCAGGACCTATGGAAGTAAAGAGCTGATTTCATAAGTCTAAACCACCAGGTGTGACAGTATTACAGTCAAAACAAGTTTCAAAGGATGCACCATTAGCATTTTAAAAAAAATTGTGCACCACTATTTAAATTGCATAAAACTACCTAGCTATTGGCGCAAATAATTTTTAAGGTTTATTTTGAAGTTATATTCATGAACAGTAATTTAAGTAATAGAGAACTGCAACTTATTATTTCATTGAATGCAAAAAGTATGCACGTTTATATAATCTTTTTACTTAAAATAAATCATAGAATCACCTCTTAAAATTTGTTGTCATACTTAATTACCACCCTCTATATTATAAACTTTAACCATTGATTTGATAACAGGAGACGTCTATTTGCTGAGCTGTACCGATTCAGTACTGTAAATGTAAATAATCAATAATTGTAAGATGTTACTAAAGTCGATTGTAATTAATTGTAAATTACATACTCACTCTTAAGAGTCACCAAAATTATATTAAAATATAAACATCTAGATAGACATCCAAATCGATAAATCGTTAGTAGTTCGCATCACCTATGACATATTAATGAGAACTAAAAACCTCTGTTGCACTGAAAATTCTGACAGTGAACAACAGCAAAACGTTTGAAAGTATTGGCTATGACCAGTTGCAAAAGGCCACTAGGGAACATCTCAGAGTCATTATTCGAGAAGTGTTCTGTCCATGTTTTAGAACCAACAAGTCCTGAATTAATATCTGGGGAGGCCTAAAGGTTCTGATATCGGGTACATCCCCACAGATCTTACTCCAAGGGTAAGTCAAATATTTCTAGTTAAAGCTAAGGAAGTGCATTCAAGTCTATAACTGGCAGCGACTATGTTCTTAGGCCACAGTATAAACCGAAAAACCATGATATAAGTAACAACACTAGCCATAAAACCATGAGAATATGTTCAAAACTTGTTTGTCTCATGATTCTGATGGCAAATAATCTTAGTCGTTTAATATATATTGCATGCTCGATGATTCATATAGCGAGTAGTATAATTTGTTAAAAAAGTACATTAATACTTACAATCCTTGCTACAAAAAGTGTTTTAAAAGGATCTACAGTAATATTAGGTGCTGAGGCAGGATCCCAAACTGCTATTTCCTGTTCCAATTTATATGCGACTTGTTCTGCTCTTTCTCTGCGGCGTCTCTCCAATCTTTCTTCTCTGGTTTCAACTCTTGTAGGAGGCGGAGTGTCTTTAGGATCCTAAATATTTGGAATAATTAGACTTCATACCACAAAATATCAATCATGGAACATTACCTCAAACTGATCTAGAAAAGCTCCTACACCCAAATAACCCCGATTTTTCTTCTCATGTGGTAATTTAGCAACTGGAGGTAAATATGGAACGGGATCGCGTGGTGCAAACAACGCCAATAAATTAGGAGGTAAAAACTGTGTCATTTTTACGGTTTAATCGTCTCTTTACTAGTAGTCGGCACTGTTATTCATTGTACTACTATATTTATTATTTTTAAAAAATTGTCAATGACTAGAAACTCTTTTTAATACAGCAACAAATCTCTTCAATGCTAAATGTTGCCAAAATAAATACAAGATGGCTGCTCCCCTAACTAAAAGGCTGTGGCACACACATCACACATTACACAAATAAGGACACAAAAGTCACAAAACATGGCATGCCAGTCCTACCACAGAATACCCATCACAGATTATACCCATGGAACTCTATATTACTTTAACTTCGTTCCAACAGGCAAGCGAATTGGTTCAGAACCATCCCCCCCGCAACACCTGACGAACTAAGACTGACAATACGCAGACTTAAAAACAGAAAAGCCCCCGGACCCGACAATATACATAACACGACACTCAAACGACTACCACACAAGGGCTTCATGGCCCTACTAAACATAACAAACGCGACACTCAGACTAAGACACTTCCCTTCCCGCTGGAAAACGGCAAACATAATCCTTATCCCAAAACCCAACAAAGATCACACCATCTCATCCAACTACCGGCCCACCCCCCCTGCCCGCTAACCTTTTCTGT